TAAATGTGCAAAAATGAGTTATTGGCAAAAATAGAATTATATAAATTTATAATATTGCTTAAATGTGTTTTTAATATGAAATAGTGTCTCCTCTTTGCTGCTCTAATAATTGCAACTGCCTCGGCGTTGAATTAACTAAGTTTTGGAGGACGGTTATATCAATATTGGCCCATTCCTTTACGATTGCCTCCTTTAAGTCCTTTAGGTTCCCAAATTGCCTTCCACCTCCGAAAACTTTATGTGAGAGGATGCCCCAAAGATCATCAATCGGATTTAAGTCCGGAATTATAGCGGGTCACTGCATCAAGGAAATTTGTTTGGATTTCAGAAACGGTGCAACGTGTATAGGAGCGTACTCCTATTGAAAAACAAAGTTCTAGTGATGGAACTCTTCCGAAAGGGGTACCAGCTCACTTTCCAAGAGATCCGAGCATATTTGGGCATTCATTCGAAAATGCACAAAGCATATTGGAGATTTATCAAAGAAGTTAAAAGCAGCCCAAACCATTAGAGATCCACCGCCGTGGTTGTGTCTGTGGCAAGTTACCCGGGGATGCCTGGGATCTGGCCAATACTTTTGATTTCCATCAGGCCCATCTAAATTCAACTTTTACAGTTCAATTCAACTCGTACTTTTTACAGTTGCCAAGGCTCTAATGTGGCGCGTAGTCCTGCCATCAACCTTAGGAATTGCACCTTTTCGGTGGTTCTGAGCATATTATTGCGAAAGTTTTAGGAATTTTGTTATTGTATTCCGATGCCCATTATTTGTTTTAGCAATAACACTCAATTTGACGCCACATTCAGCCATAGTTTTTACTCTAACCTCCTGCTCTTCTTCCGTTAATTCGGTTCTCTGTGGGATTTTAATCATGGAGTACCGTTTAACCCAGCTCTTTTAAAAATAGCCCAATATAAAATATAATTAATTTTTTGTAAATAAAAACACAAATTTAATCACTTTGTTCCATTAGAATATGATCGGGTCGCCCTCCAAATGTAAATTAAGGGGTAAGGGGGTAAAATGCAATTTTGCCGATTTTTTTTTGACATCATAAAAAATATTTATTAAAAATGTTTTGCCGACGTTGTTTAGTACATATTTCTGGGTACTTTATAAAATTTTTTCATAAAAAAATATTAAATATTAAAAATGTTATGGCCGAATTCCAAGATCGTCTTTTTTTCGAAGGTGTCTTGCGGTGGACATCATATCCCGAGAACGGTTCATCCGAAATCAAAAATTAAACAAATTTTCGTTAGTATATTGTATTGCCTAGTCCTCTAGACCATGGATTTGTAAAACTTTTGATTAAAAAAAAATGGCGACAGTTTTAACAAAAAATTTACTTTTTCGAGGTATAACATTTTCGATTTTTATGCTTTAAAAAAAAAATTTTTCAAAAAAATTAAAAATTCTTCGTTAGAGGACTATCTATTGTTATAATAAATAAGTGGTCAAAATTCGGTGTTGATCGGATCAATAGTTTTTTAGTAATCGTGTCCACCGCAAAGGTAACTTCGAAAAAAAACGCTTCTGAGATAATCGCGTTTAAAGTTTCAAGTTTGTTCAAGCCGATGTGCAGGTCGTGCACTATAAATAGCTACAACTTCTGTTCTAATGCTCCGATCGTTATGCATTTTTGTGAGAATATTCTCAACAGTATATACTTGAAGAATATGAAATAAAAAAAAGTCGATTTTTTTATCATCACAACTGTATATAACCCCTTAAGGGGGGATATACATGTAAACCAAAATTTTTTTTTGGCAATTTTTTTTTTGTTTAAAAAATAGTTTATTACTTAAAGAATATACTGTGTAAGTATCATCATCGAATTCCAACTTTAAGTGCCTCAAATTAAGTATGCAAGCAAAGTATACAAGTGTTACCGTGGGCACGTAAAAAACTTTAAACGTCTTTTTCTCAGCTTCTAATTTTTGCATTTCTGCCTATGCTATGGACACGATTCAGAAAAAACTACGTAACATATCGGAGTGAATTAAATTTTATTATGATCAGCATCAAATTATCTTCTATTTGAACCTACATGGTTGTTATAAAACTGAGTATTACTATTTTTTAAGAGGGTGGGAAGTGAAAACTGATCACCTGAAAATGGCATTTTTTTCTTCAAATCAAAATTTAATTTTTTTGTCTTGATTTCTTTTGGGTTTTTTAGGTTCAAATAGAAGATACAGGTGTAATGAATACAAACAAATTTGGTTTACGGGTTTTGGACAGGAATTACGACCCCTATCGTGTCCATAGTACGGCAACTCAAAGCTCGAGGCGCTACGGCATATGTTCCGTAAATCCGCCATTTTGTAAAATATTGTTTATAACTAATTTTTTTTGTCATCTCTGATTCTACTTTTAACTATATCCAAAGTTTCACGACGATTGCTTGACTATTTCTTATAAAAAAAATTCACGAAAAATGACCAAATTTTGACCGCTTACATGTATATCCCCCCTTAAGCATTTATCAACTTTCCATTAAAAACAGTTCTTCATTGTCTTTTTTATGCTAACGGTACTACAAATTGGGAGCTGACTAAAAAGCAATGTATGCAACAATATTGGTATATATAAGAGAAAAATGGTGTGTACTCAAAAAAGAACTATCGCTATTAAAACGACAGTAATAAAGAAAACAAAATTTGCACATATGTATATCAATTTTACTGAGGTATGTAAAAATGTAGTGTTTGGTGTTGCTAAAATAAACTTTGTTTTATTCAAATATTTCTTCAAAATATCGTAAATAGAATCCTATTATTGTCAGTATAGTCGTCAGTAGGAAATAAAAAAATTGCTCTATGTACATATGTACATATGTATGTGCATACTTAGTTCATTTTTGTTCTCTTTTTAATGTCCATGCTCTTACACTCTGCGTTCCTGCAAAGCTTGCGATCGTATGTATTTATGTTCATATGTGCATACATATCTACATACTATATATACATATTCGTGGTCGCTGTACCTTGCTTAGATTGTAAAAATATATTTTCATTCATTTTCTTAGTATTTATTTACCGCTTCGTGTGACAACATAAGCTTCGAATAATAAGAGAACAAATTTATCGAACATATGTATATACATATGTACGTAGAGAGATAAAAATGGCGCACTTGGTAGTAAAGGTGATTGAGCAGTGTGAGGCTGCTACCGAAAATGGAGTTTTAGGTAAGTCGGGTAGATATTGTTAAAAATAAAGAATAATATTGAGCATTTCAAAGTAAAACGCGCAATCATACATATGTATATATGTATGTATGTATGTCCATGTATGGCCAGTCAAGAGAGAAGGGGGTGTGTGTGTGTGACGGGCGTGCTTCCCACGGGCCCACGATTTTCAAATGGCCTGTGATAAATATCGCCGATTTTTTATAGAGAAGGGAAGGGCCCGCACATATCGACGCATTTCCGCGAATGTATCGTATGTTGAAAAATCCAATTTTACAGGAGAAGCTTTTTTTATTTAATCTCTGAAAGCACTGGAAGCACTGAACATACGCCAAAATTTAAACTTAATTTTTATCGGAACTATAGGGTTTTCAGTTATATTATTTCACAGGGTAGTGATACATTGGTGCCTAACAATTTTGCATTAAAATCTCAATTTCGAAAAAAATCAAATCGATCAAATCAATCGATATCAAAATTTAACGCAATGAATAGGGATGTCGAAATATTTAAAAATATCGTATCGATGATATTTTTAATTGAAACACAAAATCAAAATGATATTTTATATATCAGAAAGAACTATCTATGTATATATCAGATATTTTTTATATTTTTGTTTTATTATTATTTTTTTTAAAGCTGCATAAGCAATAACCACTAAACATTAACCTAAATACGATCTTAAATTATATTTTTATAATTTTTAGTTTATATTTATTAATAAATGAAAGAAAACAATATTTATTTTTGCTTTCTGTTGCTTTTTTTATAATATTCAATCAAATCAGAACAAAATTTAGGTTTAAATTTTATATTTTAGCTGCGCACTCTTTATATTTGTCCTCCATCAAAGAGGTAACCTGAAAATTTTAGAAATCATTTCTGTTAAAGCTTAGTACTCTGACGACGAAAATCCGCTGTATAACGTAATACAGCGGCCAAACTCCATATAAAAACAAACGAAAAAGGAAGAAGAACTTTTTGCCTCGCGGTTTTTGCTAGTACTCTGACGACGAAAATGATACCTACGAAAATTGAATGGAGTTGCCAGATCAAGAGAGTAAACAGCTGATATCGTGCTGTAAAAAGAATTCATTTGATTTATGCATACACCCCTAATGGAGGGAAAGTTGAAGGAATAAAGTGGCATTGATAGGGGCTGTCAAGGCGAAGCCCATAATATGGAATTTAACCCACAAAGGAAATTTTAATGCCATATTTATTAATATTTAAAATTTGTTTTTTGAATATTTGTTTACAAACAGCTGTCCAGTGTGACCAAAGAAAAGCCTTAAACGCCATAAAAGGTACATTTTCATCGAGCCAAATAAACAGCGATTTCGCTGTATTACGTTACACAGCGGCTTTTCGTCGTCAGAGTACTAGGCTTTAGTCCCAATATTCATCAATGTTTTATCAACATTTTACCGACTATTCATCAATGATTCATCAACATTTTAGTCCTCAAATTAAACAATTTGGTCACACTGGTTTACGACCGAAATATGTAGCAATTTCGTTTGGAGCACTTCGAAACTAAACATGTCTAATGTTAGTACCAGCCTTTAGAAGTATTTTATTAAAAGAACTGGCTTGCTTTTAAGAAAAGTAAATCTGTTTTTTTATATGGATATCGATATTAGAGACGTTAACAGTGTTCTCCGTCACTTTTGTTGCTGTACTCTTGTGCACAGATAAAAATATTCATTAAATAAAAAAAAAAATGTTTTTCCTTGTTAATAATTGTTATCTACATTCCAACTTAGATATTAAATATGTATGTATGTGGTCTTACTATTTTAGATCTTTCTAAATGTGAACTAATGCAAATACCAGATGCAGTCTATCACCTAATGCGAAACACAGAGTTGCAAACCTGCAACCTTAGTGGCAACGTTTTAAAGAGTGTCTCACCGAAGTTTTCGCAAAAGTTCAGTATGATTACAGGTGAGCCTCTTCTAGCCCTGCCAAATTAAAATACGAATTAATTAATATATACTAATCAATTGCTCTTTTTAGATCTTAATCTTTCACATAACAAACTGACGAGGCTACCAGAGGAATTCAACAATTTGACGAGATTAACTATGCTGAATATATCTCACAACTCCTTTATCGTCTTACCTCAGGTAGTGTTTAAGCTACAGAGTCTTGCCCATTTGGATGCTCAACACAATGCTATATTAGGTAAGCTAAATGCTGTTTGACCGCGATCCCTTGCATTGATTTGTTTTTCAATCATCACAGAGATCGATACTGAAGAGTCCATTTCCAGTGCCTGCCTGGCTTTGGTAGATCTTCGGTATAACCCACTAAGCAGAAATTTTCGGCGAAAGCTGCAGGACTTTCAAACGTCGTTCCGCCTTGAGATTTCCAACAACGTTGAAGACGACTGGTAGTACGCGTGTGCCTAGCTATTAACAAAGAACATCAACTAATCTATACAGCTCTTGAAATTTTTTTATAGCTCCTAAAATTGTATATTTAAAAAAATACATTAGTTTATATAACATTTTCGACTATCCGTCATTTAATTTCCAATAAAAAAATTTGAATTAAAGATTTGACGGCACCATAGGGTTTAACCTAAAGCCTAGCAATACAGCGGCCAAACTCCATATAAAAAAACGGTGTCGAAAATTGAAGAAGAAGAACTTTTTACCTCCCGGTTTTTGCTAGTACTGAATGTCGTTGCCAGCTGATATCGTGCTGTAAAAAGAATTCATTTTTTCATTTTTATTCTAACACCCCTAATGGAGGGAAAGTTGAAGGAATAAAGTGGCATTGATAGGGGCTGTCAAGGCGAAGCCCATAATATGGAATTTAACCCACAAAGGACATTTTAATGCCATTTTTATTAATATTTTAAATAGTTATGGTTTTAGGCGACCTTTCCTTTGTTTATATGTTTTTGTTTCGGACGATATCCGAATTAAAGCTTTTCATTTATTTTGGTACTCCACCCCCTCCCTGACCTTAAGCCGGCTCAACAACAATATTTTAAATATTTTTTGTTGAATATTTGTTTACAAACAGCTGTCCAGTGTGACCAAAGAAAAGCCTTAAACGCCATAAAAGGTACATTTTCATGACTTTTCCTTAATTTTTTGGTCACATTGGTTACCGAGCCAAATAAAGAGCGATTTCGCTATAAAACGTGTTACAGCGAATTTTCGTCGTCAGAGTACAAGGCTTAAAAAAAAACGATGTGAATAAGGAAGAAGAAAAACTTATTCCCTTGTCGTTTTTGCGGGTACTGTGACGACAAAAATGATACCTGCGAAAATTTAATGGCGTCGCCAGATTAAGAGAGTAGACAGCTGATATCGTGCTATCACAATAATTAATTTCATTTATTCTTACAGGCCCAATAGGGGGAAAATCAAAGGAAAAATATTCAGTTCTCCGGTAATCGAAAACGGGAGACGAGAAATCGGTGCTCCGGTTTCCGAAAACAAATAATTTTTTCGTTTTGAAAAACGTGCACCTTTTTTTTACCGGAATGAAAAGTAAATGACTGTTTTTATATGAAATCAGATCTTATTTAAAATAGGAAAAAAATAGTTTACTCAGTGGTCAATTGATGTTTATTCCACACCACCATAACATCATTCTGGCAGGTAGTTATTTTATAAAAAATTATTTCTGACCCCACCTCAGATTTGACCAACAAATTTTTTGCCGTGTTCAACAAGTTTTCTCTTTTTGGCGATAGGTCGGTAAGTTCATCGCAAAAAGTTATAGCCAAGGTTGCCATATTATTGGTGAAACGATACAGCCAGTTAAAAATACTTAGAAAATATAAAAGAATACATTAATGACTTTAAAGGAATGTCAAAGTTGTTGTTTACAAATAATGCTGTTTAATTTGATTACCTAAATGGTTAAAATTGATCAATCACTTAATTGAGACCACCGGAATTAAGACTGTGAAAAATTTGGCTGCTCGCTCTTGTGGAAAACAGCTGTTTAAAGTCGAATTCATTTTTTTAAATATGAGTAGTCCGAACTTTGCAACCCCTTGAATGACATTGACCCTCCGACCAAAGATGTTGCATCTTAGATGCCTATATTTTTTTAATTGCAGCAATTTATGACTCCTCCTGGCTTCAAAGGTTAATTCGGTGCAAAAAAGGCCACGGAACGGCTAAAGTTAGCTTAATGAATTAAATACCATATAATAACACAACATTTAAATAATTTTTGATAAATTTTGTATTGAAAAATATTTAGAGGTTGAGAAGTTATAGGGAATCTCCCGAGTCGCCTCCAAAAAAAGTTGTTTTGCGGTGTACATCCTAACAGTCCACAGGATCATCCGATCTACAAAAATTATACCTCATTCGTTAAAGGCTAAGTGTCCCGAGGTATTCACGAAGCGTTTTTATTTTTAAAATTTTTTCCCTATTTTTTATCAAAATTTGAAGTCAAAACCCCGATTTTTGACTAAAAAAAAAAACGTTATTTCTTAATTTAAAAATATATAAAAATTAAAAATTAAAAAAAGGCCGACGTGAATACCTGAGGAATTAGTTAAAGAATGTGTGTGCCAAATTTCAAATCGATCGGTCCAGTAGTAGTAGTGCATTTTTCAGGAGAGCCCTTTAAACTTTGTGATTCTCATGCATTGAACACCAACCGACCTTCGTTCAACTCTGCATAACATCGTCAATTTTCCCATGATCGATGTAAAACTTGGACACAATATTCTTAAGATATTAGGCCTTAAAAATAAAAAATAAAAAAAATTACGAAAAAAAAAATTAAATACCTTACCCCCCCCCCCCTTAAACGCCACGAACAGGTTCATTTTCAACTCGTTTTATGACTTTTCCTTAATTTCTTTGGTCACACTGGCTACCGAGCAAAATATATGGCGATTCTGCTATAGCACATGTAATAGGGTCTTCCCACACACCGTCAAAGCGCATTCACCGTCCGTTGAACTAACTGCCCATAAGGTTTTGCCGTTCCGAATTTTCTCAAATGGACCGCGTTTAGAACGCATTAAAATCTAGCCACGGTTTGTTTGGCGATAGTTTTTCGGTGGAACTCTGATTTCTTCTTCTTAACAGTGAAAATTTGACCAACGATACGAAAAACGTATACACACTTGGACAGGAACAATTGAAAAATGAAATTTAAAATGTGGCGCCAAAGCTACAAACATACCCAAAATAGTTGTTGGTGTTTTTCTGTATATTCTAGCCCCCGCCTGCCACTACCTTATTTTAAAGATTTTGGATGCCTATACCACCTATAGAAACTCTTCGGGGAATTTGCTCTTTGTTAGAGAAAAATCATTAGAAAAACTAAAATTCCTTGTCATTTAATTCATTTAAATATAGAGCGGATAAATTCTGACGCAATCTCTGCTTTTGCGGTTGTACAAAAACCAAAATAAATTGGTAAATGCTCCATTTCAAATATGCAACGTTTTCATGAGCCACAGCTCATCGATCAGCTGTTCGGATGCGGATGCGCTTTAATACTGTCTTCCCACACAGCGCATTTGTGAGGAACGTTTGGGATTTTTCACAAATGTGAAACTCGTGTTCCCACACAACATTAAAGCGCATTTAGCATCCGAACAGCTGATCGATCAGCTGTGGCTCATGAAAACGTAAACAAAGGCTGTCGAATTGGCAGTTGCAAATTTGAAATGGAGCATTTACCAACTATTTTGGCTGTTGTACAACAGCAAAAGGCACAGATTGTGTCAGAATTTATCCGCACTACATTTAAAAGAATTAAATGACAAGGAATTTTTGTTATTCTAATGATTTTTCTCTAACAAAGAGCAAATTCCCCGAAGAGTGTCTATAGGTGGTATAGGCATCCAAAATCTTTAAAATAAGGTAGAGGTAGGCGGTTTATATTAAATAGTAACAATTGGGGACATATTGGAGCAAGAATATACAGAAAAAACGCCAACATCTATTTTGGGCATGCTTGTAGCTTTGGCGCCACGTTTTAAATTCCATATCTCATTTGTTTCTCGCCAAGTGTGTATACACTTTCGTAGTGTTGGCAAATTAAGAAGAAGAATCAGAGTTGCACCGAAGAACTATCGCCTAACTATCGCCAAACAAACCGTGGTTAGATTTTAATGCTGAACTAACGCCGAAAAATGTCTATAGGTGGTATAGGCATCCAAAATCTTTAAAATAAGGTACAGATGGGCGGTTTATATTATATGGTAACAATTGGTGAAATTTTGGGTCAAGAATATACAGAACAACACCAACTATTTTGGGTATGTTTGTAGCTTTGGCGCCACATTTTAAATTTAATTTTTCAATTGCTCTTTGCCAAGTGTGTATACATTTTTCGTAGTGTTGGTCATATTTGCACTGTTAAAAAGAAGAAATCAGAGTTGCACCGATAAACTATCGCCAAACAAGCGGTCGTTAGATTCAGATGCGCTTTGATGCTGGTCCATTTAAGAAAATTCGGAACGGCAAAACCTTATGGACCGTTTGTTCAACGGACGGTGGATGCGCTTTGACGGTGTTTGGGAAGACCCTATTAGGGTAATTATTTAAGTGATTTTTTTACTTTTACATAAGCTCAGAAGTTCAATCCACGTTGCTTTAAAATTCAGATATACCAATAAATTAATATTAAAACAAATATCGGGATGTCGATATTTGGGCAAAAAAAATATCGATTTAAATATGTAATTTTAGAAATATATCGATATATTGACATTATGATATTTTATCAACAACCCTACTTTGAACGGCTTCTAATCTTTTAAAAATATTTGTAATATAAATGTGCAGGGGCTAATAAGCTAGATATTGTACAACAGCGATTATGATTTATTATCAATTTTATCTACGCAGAAGCCACTTCAACAATCTTTGTTTATTTTCTGAATAGCCACAGCTGTTCAATCAGCTATTTTCGTTTGATAGATGGCGGATGTGTTCTTTTTGGAATCGAATCCAACTATTTCACACGAAAAGGCTAAGTGGAAACGGGGTATTACCAATGTCCATTGGAGGGTGGTTTAACATTTAACTGGCGCTTAACAGCACAGTTTATTCGTCTTGAGTTCGCCTTTAGATTATATGTCTTCCATCACAAGATTTTTTATTTTAATAGTCGGTATTACTGAAAAATATTTTGTTTATTTAAGTTAAAAGATGTCAATTCAACTTGGATTGTAGCTAATAAAACTCAAAACCAATCAATTCAACCGCCATATATATATACATATGTACATATGTGCAAGAGTAGATGTTGATAAATTACTCGTACGATAATGTTTACTCTGTGAGTAATATAAAAAAAAAAAAACGAATGTAGATTACTGTGATGTTCCAACTACCAACTGTTTCATTTAATGTTAAAAAATCACAATTTGTACGTATAAAAACCGCAAATGCTTGGAAAAAATAAACGCCACAAAATTGCATAAACCAGCCGGGTTATTTTTAATAGTGCTGTTTTTCCATTGTTTAAGTATTTATTTATTAGTGTTCATTTGTACATTCATGTGTTTCTATGTATCTATTTATATATGCATATATAAATACCTAATGAAATAAATGGAAATACATCAACAGAATAAACAACGAACATATATACCTAGAATAGCATTGGATTTTTCTCCAAAAAGGGTATGTTTGCCAACTAATTTGCGACTGCAACCTGTTTTTACGTGCCTAAATACATGCGTACATATGTATGTTTGCATGTGTAGTTATGCACCTATGTACATATAAATTCAACAAGTTTCTGGGAATGACGCCCCTGGCCTTTTGTATTTGAATTCATGTTCATACTTACATATGTATTTTTTATCTGTATTATTGTAACATAATAATCTCGGCTGTGCACATTTGATCATATTGTTAATCATAGTATGACGTGCAAAAATATATTTAAATCCTTCATGTACGCGATAAAACACATGTACATACTTAAGTATTCCATATGTACACCTCTATTTAGAGTCTTGTATGTGCATTTGTACACACATATGTACATATGTATGTATGTATGACTAAAAAAAAAGCATTTCTGTATGAACATATGTATATACATACGTAAAATACATATATACATACGTAAATATGTACATACAGAGGTAGCCAGAAGTATTTCCATAAGTGTACAATTATTTGCACATTCCAACTTCTTTTGTTATTCTTGTTGTTGACCAATTTTTCTGAATTTTTTTTTTATCGCGTAGATTAATAAAATAGCTTAACAAACTTATGGAAAGCCTTCAACAATGCCAAAGCTTAATTTTCTAATTATTTATAAAGTAATTTACGAGATTTTTGCTCAAAACATTAAAATTGAATAGAATTAGATTTAGGATGAAAACTATTTATTTTTAAATACCACACTTTATAAGCGCTTATTAGTTTGCCTTTAGCAATTCCCTATGAACCGTTATCTTTCGTATTTCTCTTTTCTTTAAGGGGTTATATACAGTTGTGATAGTCGAAAAAATCGATTTTTTTTTATTGCATATTCTTAAAGTATATACTGTTGAGAATACTCTTACAAAAATTCATAACGATCGGAGCATTAGAACCGAAGTTGTAGCTATTTATAGCGCACGACCTGCACGTCGGCCGGAACAAACTTGAAACTTTAAACGCGATTATCTCAGAATCGTTTTTTTTCGAAGTTACCTTTGCGGTGGACACGATTACTAAAAAACTATTAATCCGATCAACACCAAATTTTGACCACTTATTTATTATCTCAAAAACTAGTCCGTGAACGAAGGATTTTCAATTTTTTTGAAAACTTCCTTTTTTAGAGCATAAAAACAGAAAATTTTACCCCTTAAAAAGGACATTTTTTGTTAAAATCGTCGCCATTTTTTTTTTAATCAAAATTTTTAAAAATCCTTCGTTCACGGACTAGATAATTCAATATACTAACGAAATGTTTTTGAATTTTTGATTTCTGATGAACCGTTCTCGGGATATGATGTCCACCGCAAGTCACTATCGGAAAAAGAGGGTATTTGAATTCGGCCATAACTTTTTTATTAGTTAATATTTTTTTATAAAAAAAATTTTAATAAGTACCCAGAAAGATGTACTAAACAACGCCGGTAAAACATTTTTAATAAATATTCTTTATGGTGTCAAAAAAAAATCGACAAAACTTCATATTTTTGCGCGGTACAACTGTATATAACCCCTTAAAAAAATTCAGGAAAATTGGTAAACAACCAAAATATTAACTAGAAGAAATTGGTAGGTGCAAATAGCTCGTTGTGTAAATCCTTTTTTTTTTTTTTTTCCTATCTATAAAAAGTAAAACAAATAAGCAAAGTCAGGTTGTCAAAAAATTAGGGGTACCAATTGCAATCTTTAAAAATTTTTCATTCCTTGTTGGCTGTCAGTTTGAAATGGCCGTGGATCTTTGTCTGCGCCGAGTTTAAGTAGATGAGTATCGCTCTGTAGGTGTTTCTTCTTGCCGAGTCTGTTCGGACTTTTACACACTCTTTTTACACTCTGCGCGCCAATGTCCTTTAAGACTGCTCGATTGGCATTGTGCCTAGGATATCATTTAGAGCACCTCCTGTGCACGCTGCTCAGAGTAATCCTGTTAATTGTATGATGTTCTCCTCGGTGCGTGCTGGCCACCACACTAGGGATCTTTAGGTTGATACTAAACATCTGCATGAGTGGCTAAAAAATTGCATTCCAATGCACAAAGCTCAAAATGAGTTGAGTGAATTTGAAGCAAATGTTAAACTGAATTGAATGAGTTGACTCGCTTACGTACGACTCAGCCGCACAAAGAAGAAACGAATGGAATGAAATGAGAACTCAGAAAACTGAGACGCTGAATTTGAATGATTCTACAGTGACTCCATCGCATAATCGGACAAGTACCTTCTTATTATAAATGTGCTCAAAAACTATCAAAAATGTACGAAATGGATCGGTTCCTTCTGTTCTTATTCAAGATTAACATTCTTGTTATTCAATAACATACAAAAAAATAACATATTTCAAGGAAAACTCTTAATTTACGAACTAAAACATAATTATTCCATTATTTGACGCTCAACGTATAATCGGACAATCCCAAGATGAACACAAAAAATCGATATTTTACCCGAAATTCGCTGAAAGCTTTGTGTTTTTTGCATTGTGTTTGTTTAATAATAGAGATTAGGAGCAGAAAACATAATTTTGCTATTAAAAAGTGGAAAATGGCTCCAAATGGAGAGCAATCCTCTGTGGAACTTCGGCAGTTGGATGTTAAGCTAAATTTTGAAGGAAAAACAGTAAGAGAAATCTCAGAATTAGTTGGGAAAAGCAAATCTACCGTCCACGACATTATTAAGAGGTTCCGTGATGAATTTAGATTTGCCAATAAAAGCAGGGAACGCCAAAACAAAATCTTAAGTGACCGAGAAGAGCAGTCGGTTTTAAAAGAAGTTAAGGGGGGGGGTAAGGTATTTAATTTTTTTTTTCGTAAATTTTTTTTTATTTTTTATTTTAAAAGTTCAATATCTTAAGAATATTGTGTCCAAGTTTTACATCAATCATAGTAAAATTGACGAAGTTATGCGGAGCTGAACGAAGGTCGGTTGGTGTTCAATGCATGAGAATCACAAAGTTTAAAGCGCTCTCCTGAAAAATGCCATTTTGAAAATCGGTGTACACGATAACTAAAAATATACTGAACCAATCGGTTTGAAATTTGGAACATAACTTCTTTAGATAATTCTACAGGTATTCTCGTCGAGCTTTTTTTAATTTTTAATTTTCTTATATTTTTTATTTAACAAATTAACTTAATTTTTTAGTCAAAAATCGGGGTTTTGACTTCAAATTTTGATAAAAAATAGGGAAAAAATTTTAAAAATAAAAACGCTTCGAGAATACCTCGGGACACTTATCCTTTAACGAATGAGGTATAATTTTTGTAGATCGGATGATTCTGTGGACAGTTAGGATGTACACCGCAAACCAACTTTTTTTGGAGGCGACTCGGGAGATTCCCTATAACTCCTCTACCTCTAAATATTTTTCAATACAAAATTTATCACAAACTGTTCAAATGTTGTGTTATTATATGGTATTTAATTCGTTAAGCTAGCTTTAGCCGTTTCGCCACAACATTTTTTTGAAAAGTGGGCATTTTTGCACCGAATTAACCTTACCCCCCCCTTAAACAAGATCCCTTCAAAAGGCTAAAGAACTTAATATTTCTTTACAAAACCGAACTGGTAAAGATGTGTGTCTCAATACTGTGCGTAATACTTTAAATAAATTTGATTACTTCGGACGAGTTGCGAGGAAGAAGCCCTTTATTAGCCCCAAGAACAAACAAAAACGCATTAAATATGCAAAAGAATATTTGATGAAAACAGAGGATTTTTGGAAGACGGTAATATAATAGTTAATGAGCTCAGAAAAAGTTGTTGTTGATTTTTATTAATTAATTAAAGGTTCTATTTACTGATGAGAGTAAATTTAATTTACATGGATCCAATAAAAAGAAGTTTGTTTCGCGTAAACCAAATACCGAATTTAAACCCAAAAACTCAAAGGCCACAGGAAAGCATGGAGGAGGTTCTGTGATGGTTTGGGGCTGCATGTCCAGTGCTGGAGTGGGCCAATTGCATTTCATAGATGGCATTATGGATAAGTTTGGTTACCTAAATGTTTTAAAAGAAAATGTAAAGCAAAGTGCTCAGAAATTGGGTATCGCAAACAACTTTGCTTTTTACCACGACAACGATCCTAAGCACACATCGAGTGTTGCAAAGCTTTAGTTGATCCATAATTGTCCCAAAGTTGTCGAAACGCCAGCGCAAAGCCCCAACCTTAACGTAATTGAACATCTCTGGGAAGAATTGGCTAGAAGAGTGTACCAGGAGAAATTTAACACTATAAATGGCCTCAAGGAAGCTTTGTTGGAAGCATGGAACTGCATTGAGCCGGAAGTGTGCGAAAAATTGGGTGAAATCCATTCCTAGGCGCTTGCAAGCTGTTCTAGAGAACAAAGGATTCGCAACCAAATATTAAATCTATCCTTTTCCTATTTTTTTCATTCATATTTTTGTTTGTCCGATTATACGTTGAGCGTCAAATAATGGAATAATTTTGTTTTAGTTCATAAATTAAGAGTTTTCCTGGAAATATGTTATTTTTTGGTATGTTATTGAATAATAAGATTGTTAATCTTGAATAAAAACAGAAAGAACCGATCCATTTCGTACATTTTTGATAGTTTTTGAGCACATTTATAATAAGAAGGTACTTGTCCGATTATGCGATGGAGTCACTGTAGTTGACTGTAAATATCACTACAGTAACAAATTTTTCAGAAAAAATAGGTTTGATCCGCCACTTTTGGCTGCTGCCTAGTCTAAATTGAAACATAAGCAATTGATATGCGTTTTCATGTTTCTTTGTCTTTGATCCGCGAGCTCTGAAAATTCGAATTCGTGCACAACAACTCGAATCATTCGAATGTACCACGCATTGCCAAATTTGTTGTTTCTTTTTTCGCGTCATTCGTTCTCTTTCATTTCGTTCAACGTCCCAAGCTATGAAGCAAAACGAGAACGCATATCTGATACAATGTCGTTTCATTTCTTGCATTCCACTCCTTCCATTCTATTTCATTC